CACCCAGTCATTATCAATTTCACTGTTGTCAACTTCCCTTTTCCCAGTAGTAACATACCAGCCTTCCCTGTATTTTTTGATAAGCTAGAGAACGATTTACATATACGGATTTTTCCTCTAGAAGTGTTGACCAGCAAACTATTTTGATAGTGTTTCCCATCGCAACGGACTTCAATTAGTGACTTATAATTCTACACTTGTCATTATGACTTGGTTTTGAAACCTTAAGATTTCACTGTCCACCGGTATACCAAAATAATACACATGCATTGTTTATGATTGATTATATGAGGGAGAGCACCACGGGTGGTGCGGGAAACACTTTGCCTTTCATTGTGCCTGGTACCGACATCACTTCCCATGAGGCTCATTGAGTTTTCCTTTTTTTGTTGTACCTCCTCAGTTCCTGTTTTTGCACATCCACGTCGAATATAATTTCCGCTTTGTCCTTGTGTGTTGACGCTATGGTATTCTTTTCATGTTTGACTCGACAAGATAAACAGATAAATAGCTTGGTAGAAAGAAATAAAAATGAAACGAAATACATATTTCTAAGATTTAAATAAAAGAGAAAATAAATAAATGAATTCAAAAAAAAAAATGTATTTCATAAATTGTGAGAATTCATCTTTGTTTTGTTTGATGTTTCATTTACCTATGTAGAGTTAGACGAGTACCTGCAGTTGAGCTCTTTGTTGATGTATCGGACGGGTCGATGTATGAGCTAATACAAACCTTTGTAGACTACTTAGTATTTAATTTCAATCGCTTATCTCATTTACTTAATACGAGTGCTATAAAACTCTAGATAATAGTTATTGACCTGTCCCTGCCCAAACAACGTCAAGATAACGTTTTACCACGCAATTTACACCAAGTAATTTCCTCATGGGACGATAACAAGTTAAATTGTGAACTTGTTTCAATAAATAACATAATACTCGGAGACTCCTGACCTGCGAGGAGTCAATAGCTGACTGCCACTCTGAGGTAGAGATATCTGAACACAGCGTTGAATAGGATGAAATATTAATCGGCGTCTGTCATTGCTGGATGTTAATAGCTATTGATCACGTGTACAGAAATCGTTTTTAGGTAATCAATGGTGACTTCAGTGCACCATGTACAGGCTACTATAGCAACTGTAAAGGAGGTTTGTTATCAATAATGACATACCAATTACTGTAGAAAAGAAAACAATACAAATTTATGATAATAACGCATCTTTACTATAGGAACAGATAAAAGAGACCATTAACTCGCAAAAATACTTACCATTAACTACGAGAAAACGAGGCACTTTAATAAAACGAGGTTATCAACAGTTATAATATACCTTTTCATTATATATATATATACTTGCCTTTTCATCGATCTCAAGAAGAAAATTCTTTTAAAAAATCCACTCTCTGATAGTTTACAGAATTAAGTACAATTGCAATATTGCTATCCTGGACTTGCGCATTAAAACAATCAAAAAGTTTTTATTGATTTTAGTTCAAGTAAATGAAGAGCTGACTTTGCATACAGGGAGACATTTCATAAAAAAACCCAGCTTTTATGAATATAATTTTGAAGATTTAAGATAAACAGATATATTTATAATGTACTATAACAACATACATGGTATGTTCAGTGTTAAGACACACACACAATAAGTTTCATGTAAGTTTGTGGTAACGTTTTATATTAAGGTATACAGTATGCGTATTGGTCACTTAAACTTTTATAAAGCTTGTTTATGGAATACGGAATGTATAATTTTTTCCTGTTTTATAAAGTCATCTTCGTGATATTCACATTAGAGTGACGAAATAATACTTACATTTTGAGTGATTTTTTGCGTAAATTCTCATGAAGTCGGGATCGCAGATCCAAGTATTTCACGATAATTAATATGTTAATCACTTATATACAAGTAACAACTACATATAAAGTGAAACACAAGGTCATGCTTTCAAAAATAAATACAGGTTTGTTTGCAAATTTAATATGCGCAAAGGAAAAGTTTTTTACAGTTTCCAGATTACTTCAGTTTCCAAGCCTTTTAATTTTTACCTGTTTATTTTTCTTTTTCTTCAAAGGTATTTAAGGAATGCAATACCCCTAACTATCCCTAACTAATTTGATTGATTGGAATATCATAACATAAAATCAACTTTTATTCATTAGCCTATCAATAATAACTGTCAACACAATTGACCTCAATGCAATTGCATATATAAATAACATTTATGCTTACAATTAAACATGACTATCCTGACATGTTTGTATTTCAGAGTTAGCACTTTTAAATATTTCATACAGCTTAAAAGTAAACACTAAATATCTAACGTGCAGAGTGTTGACAGCACTAGGCTATTTTGATATCCATTTATAAATCGTTATAAAAGACAGCAATTGGGCCAGTAGGAATGACAATCATGTACAAAATATTTTATACTTCTGTTTACTTCGATTTGCAATACAAAAATGGCACATTTTGTCGGAAAAAACAATACGGGAATATTGAAGTGCCAACAAAACCACAATTCGATCTCAAAGTCAATAAAATTAGGGTAAAACATGAACAAAGAAATTATTTACATAGATAGCCATGAACAAACATTCAATATTTAACAATCAACAGAAAAAAGACCCTTTATATTACTCCTAAATGTAATATAAAATAATTTTTATTGAATATGATTATTTCGAATTACATGGAGACCCTTAAAAAGTACCAGGAGAATAAGACCAAGTGTTCTGGAAAGGGAACCGTCTGCTGCTTCGAAACCGAAGCAGAAAACAAAACCGAAAAAACCCCGACAGATTGTCATTTTTTTTTATTAGTTATGACATCAGAGTAAGTGTTATAACATGGTTACATATCGAAGAATTATGTAGGAGTGTAATGACATGGAACAATATCCAGACAACAGATGGAAAACGTTATATTAAGTTTACATATCATAGTCATTTTTTGTGATTTCACGCTGATATTTAGCCATCGAGTTTTACTGATGATTGACTTATAATGGGTATTTCATGAACGTGGGTTATTTGATGTTTCATTTTTTTATTTTGATTACTATAAAATCCAATCTTGATTGTTTAGAATGATGTAAATAATGTCAATTTTTTGTCTGTCATCAAACCATCAATAGCGACGTAATTGAATTATTATTTCATATTGATTTTACATAAATTTGGTGTCTGTATGTATAATTAGTAACAAATATTAATTTTTATTTCTAATAAGATCAAACAACTTAATTTTGACCATCAAAAAATCACTAAACAAACTCAATAGCAGCACATGCATGTTCAAAGAACATTAACTATTTCCCCAAAAGACACTTTATATGAACGATGAACATCTTTGCTTATCAGAAAAGAGAAACAACCAGAGATACCAAAGTGTCAAAAAAAACTCAATTCGAACATAAAATCGAGAAAACTGGGGCAAAATATAGCAGACTACCTTATTCAACCACAAAAGAACAGTGATCATTTATTTAAATAAGATTTTAAAGAGTATTAATGCATAAAAGATGACAAGAAGTAAAATAAAAGGAATTCTTCGTTTCATTCTTCTAAACCCAGAAACAAAACGATAGTGCATTAATTTATATACATTCCTAATTTGATAAATAACTCAGCTGTTGTGCAATTTATTAGTGTGGCCCTTCACTTCATGCCCCAATTCCACAAACGTTCCTTAACTTAAGATTTTAACTTACCTTAGCTTTTTCATCGGAAATATTTGCACATGTTCAGAAAAAAGGAAGTGAAAGGAAGTTTTCTTAGATTTAGTAAGGTCTTCCTATGGTTAAACCTTTTTGAGGTCAGTGAACGCTCGTAAAACTAAGACCTGGTTTTTAATGTCTTACTGCATTCTCTCAATATACCCTTATGTATGTAGTATAAATATTAGATAATGTATAAATATTCCTGAGAAAGAATACGATTGAATGATGGATATTTTTCTGACCTGTAGTGACGGTTGTATCTGTTGTCTATACAGATTCATCCCACTGCTGTACGTCGTTTACCGTACCACACATATCAACTTCTCTACTCTCTACTACACAGCCAGGTTGTTGTTGACACCCTGTATGTACAAACACTCACACGTTGGCTAACCTGGCTCTTCTCCCGATAGTGACAACTAACCAATTGTATTGTTTAAATTATCAGCTTGGTTAAAAGTAAAGCCTTTCTACTTGAAGCGTTAAAGAATGAAACAGCCACTCGACACAGAGTGTAAAGTACACTAGTTATTCTAGGTAATAAGTATCAACCTGTTGGAGTCTTTTAGTGTATTTGATAAGCTTGTTTCATTGCCTTGGTCGTTTGTACTCCTAAGCCAACATACCAAGTGGCCTTTGAAGTACCCGTGAAGTGGTCAGGCCTATCTCAATACATTTCATATTTGTTTTCTTTTCATTTATACAATTCGGGGCGTACACATACACAAGCGTACTAATTATTGGTTTGTCCAGCTTTAAATTTATCTTTGTGTCATTAAGGCAAGTGGCATCAGTGAGAATAATTGTTTGAAAACGAGTGCTGTTTATCGGAAAATTAGTTATACATTGATTCAGCTCTAACTCTTTCGGTGTCCTGTCAAGTATGTGTACGATCTCTCAGGGACTCCCATCGATTAAGCGCACAGTCTGGACACGCCCCCTCTGTTTACAATGATAACATCAAGAGGCGTGTCCTTTCTCATTTCCACCAATCAACTTTGCTGGAAATACGGGTAGTGGAGCAAAAGTAGTCTCAGCTCTTGATAAAGGTTCACCTACCCTAAATCCACCCTCTTAATTGTTTTGAAAATAGATCTGTGTGTGAAGATGTCATTCCGAAGTTGACAGCTGAAACCATTACGCTTACACGAGTTCTTGATTCAATGCGAGGATCGCTGAGAGGCAATTTAGAGGCTTTAAGTGGCCAGTTTACAGGTTTGAGTGTGCACGGATTTATAATCTTAGCATAAAATCAATTTTCACACTTAGATGGACTCACATTTACAAGAAATGAACGGAGGGGCTAAATCAAGCAGTAGCTTTTCCGTGAAGGACATTCTGGATCTACCTAAAGGAAAGTCCGTCCTCAGTCCCGGGGGACACCCTACTGTCAGCAGCGCCACCCTACTGTCTATCCCGACGGTCCCGGAAGTACCAGACCTACCGTCCGTCACCGGGTACTATGACAACGATAACCCATATACACGCTGGCTCCAAAATAACGAACACATGCATTATACTAGTAAGTATACTATTTTATTTATTAAGCGATACACGAGTGCTCTTTAAAAAGAAAATAAATAAATAAATTAAACGAGAGAATGTAAAATTCATGTCAATACCTATAGGGTCACCTATAACGATAGGAAAATAACTCAAATGTGAAAATATCATCATGAAATCCCAATTAAGATAAAAACCAACAAAACTGGTATTCCGCCATTCTGTCATTATACATGTAAGTGCTTAAAATGACCAAAAAAAGCGCTCATAAATTGTGTATCATATAATTATATTTAATTATTTGTAAAAATACCCACCAATTAAAACATTTTAAACTGAAATATGCAAGTCTGTAATTTGCCAAACATTATTAAAAGAAATAACTATCAGTGAAAACTCCTCAAAAACAACACTTATCTTTTAATATATAATATTATCATTCAATTTTGAACATTTAGTACAACATCAAAGAATCAAATTCAAAATCGTAAAAAAAAATATGACAGGAAAAAAAGAAAAGAAATTATGCAAATATACCTGCCTGCACGACAGCGTTAGGTCAGTTTTTTAATTCCTTTTACTCATTTACAGAAACAACATATGTATAAAAAACAAATATTGACTCCTGGTGTTAGGGTTTTGAAGCTCTTTCAAATTTAGAATTGGTTTGTTTGAACGAATTACACTTGTCACACCTTGTTGAAAACACCCGTATTGGTCAATACGTCACTTAGTATCAGCCCTGGATCGTTGTTAGATTAATTTGAGTTGACTTCACCTGTTCAATATATTTCAAATGTTTTCTGTAGATTAATTCTTGATTTGTAATATAAAATTTCCCCTGCCTATATCTTTTATACAGATGTATTATTTAATTCAATCAAATAATAAGATATTTTAATGAGTTTTTGAATCGTGTTTATTATATCTTTATTGACTTTGTATACTTGACATGATGTAAAGGGTTATCCTGTATGGCTGTTATGTAAGCTTGATAGCTCTATTTGATCAATGCCCTCATTATGGCCATGTAACAAATGTTATATGTATAATGTTCAAGAGAAATATCATTACATAATCTAGCATAGATAAATCATTTTCTTATTCTTTTATATTGCAATCCAAATCTATATTGTAAAATTCGTCTGACCATTTGCAGCATGCTTTAACATTTCAAGGACACCGCCAAATGTTTAAAAATCAAAACTTGACTATGTTTACCATGGATTTATTTGAAGTTCATCGCCATTAATCTTGGTCTGATATCACAGGGTTCATAATCGCCATGTATTTGCATTTGGTTTAAGTGTTATCTCATGAAGGGAAGAAAGTAAATAAGACAGTGTTATAGAATATTGTAAGGTATCATACGCCATATTATAAGTTCTAGTTTAGATTTGGTCTTACAAATGTTTCAAAATGTAAAACAACATCTGAATCTTCCAAATTGACATTTGGGGTTTACATATAATTGATTCCCTAATTTATTTACTTTATTGGGAAGCTTGACTCTGTACAGATTTGCATATAGATATCACTCTTTTTCCTAAGATTATTTGACACAAATTTTGCGAAATCACATTCGTGGGTTCATCAGAGGTCGGAGCAGTAATACACAAGTTGGATCATTTTATACAGAGAACATGTCCTAACCTTGCTGGTATAATTAACTGGACCTGTGTTTACACAGAACATCTGTAAACAATACATACCGCGTTTACGAGACTAAATTTGTGGATTTATACCAGAAGTGACCTCAAGATACTGGTTTCTGTCCCCTAGGGCTTAATGATGTTGGAAACCATATTTAAAATTTTGTAAAGTTAAAGCACCTGAAAATGGTATTTTAAATAAAAGTTATCTGTAAAATCGTTTGATGACAATAACAAGAAATATCCTAGATCGACCAGGACCCAAATTTAATAGATCGAGGATTTTGACTTAGTTCTGGTGTAGGTCAAGATAATTTTCAAGTCAAACATCTAAATTTAGAAACAATGTATGGTGACAGAATGCTTGGTGAACATACTTTTGAACGAACAAAATAATTAGGTTAACTAATGGTTTAAAAAAACTTATTTTCGAAAATAATGCGCATCATTTCTATTTAAAAAAAACATTTACTGAATAGATATGGCATGACAAGCAATCTTACCAGGTGTATTCTTAATGTTATGATCAAAATCCAAATGCAGAGCATGAACTTGAAATTATATCAATATTTTGAGGGTAAATTCCTGATTGGAAACAATCGAGATAATCATATACGACAATACAATTAAAATTATATTATATTACAATTAAGAATAATATATAGGGTCTATTTTTTTTCTTTTGAAGGTGAAATACTGAATAATGTTTCATGGGTCTCTATGTATATCATTCCTTTGTTAATATTATACCCTAGTTTTATCTATTTTTAGTTCGCGTTTTGGTTCTGTTGACACTTTGTTAATCTCTTACTGTTTAGTGCCAGATTGTATTCTACAAACTGATTTTAGATTTTATCAGAAAACTGTTCATTAGATAATAAACGCTGTGTGAATGATCATCATTACTGGGGAAAAGTCAGAACCGTAATGGAATCGATAAAGATGATAATTTATAACCGAATGTCTTAGTTCGTGCTGTTTTACCGAAAGAATGATATGCTATTATAAAGTTGGTTTATTGATCACGTGGTTTTGTTACTTGACAGTCTCATTTATCACAGGGAATTATTTTATTTGACATAATCATTAAAGTGGCTATTCAGTCAGAACAGTTTATAAACTGAATTCACGATTGGCAATTTATTCAGTGTCTGACACGTTCAGTCAGTAAAAAGAATTATTTAGTATACCCTATATAATTGAGTTTCCTACTTCAAGATAGCAAACATGTATTTCAAATACCTGCCAGAACGGACAAAATAAAAATAAAAATATATAGTATTGTGTCTTTTTGAATGTGCATAAATACACATGATTTTGTATTGGTTAATGTTTTTAACCTTCAATTTATCAATTAATCATCTAAAACCCAGTACAAATGTAAATACCTAATAAAAAAGCATTAAGGGATTCCATTTATCAAAGATAAAATGACTTTCTAGAAAGTACTGTGATCACATTATTAACAAATAAAGTTATATTTCAAACATATACTTAATACATGCTGTTTAATAATAGCATCAAAGTAAGAAATAGGAAAATTCTATCAATAAACCAAGACAGCTTATCACGTTTTACACCGAATCCGAAAGTGTAAAACGCTAACCGAAGGTAACTATCACGGAATATTGTACATCATAATCTTTATTATAAAAAATAAACTTAACAATGAAATTAAAAACAGCTAAGCGTCAATATACTCAGACATCTGAGACAATAAAAAATTCAGCAGGAATAGAAAGAAAAAGGAACATTACAAGATATAAAATAAGAAGAATATATTTGTATGTCAATTGTTTTATCATGCGCGTGCAATTAGGCCGTAGTGTCGGCTCAATCTATTTCTGTTTGTTTATTATATGTCTGGCTCCTCAGGAAAGGAAGTGTTACACACGAGGAGCAATCACTACTCAACCCCGGTATCAGCACTTGTCACCCGATACAAATGTATGTCTCTAATTGGGCAATGAATTAGCGATTTAATTCAAATAAGCGAGCTATATTTCACGCATATAAAATATTTGCATTTCATGTTTTCACAAAGGAAAGGAATAGGCGGGGTACATTTGAAGGGAACATCGTTATTTGTTAAGGGCATATTTCAAATTTGAAAGACCACCCATATTATATGTTCAGCAAACAGACATGAAGCATGGGCGTCCAACCTCCTTTTGAAAGAGGTCATTTTAAACTTCTTTATTTTTAGCGACAAAACAATTTGAAATCCCTACTGCAAATATTTGAAATCATTTGAGGATTGTTGGTTTCAAAGATTGGCAAACAATGCTCTACTATGAAATTTGTTTACACAACCAGTATAATTGCATAGATCATTTTACCGAAAAGTTAAATTGTTTTACTATATATTTTGCAAGATCGCCTTACTGAAACTAAAATATACTTAAATGAAATCTATATCTACATTCACAAACTCAAGTTATAGATAATATGCACGAGTTTCCAAATTGAAACATAAGTTGTTCAGATACAAACTATAAATGTTCGTGTCCATTGACACGCGTTCTAGTCCTAACGAAGCACGGGTTTTGTTATCACTGTGTGACGTATCAATGTATGCTCATTCCAAATATGCTTATGGATTTCATATTAATCATATTAATTTTCACTGTTATAGGATCGATTAAACATTACAACTGTTTTGTCCATATACTGCCTTTTTTTTTTATCTAATATACCATTTCATTGTAAATCTTTCTTGTGTGATTCGAACAAAACCAGTGGACACATTAATAGGACATAATAATAAAAGCGATATAAATTACTTTAACAAATAACGGCTTAATGGTTTATAACACGTACAAATATATTCCATATCTAGTGTTGTTACTCCACTAACAACAAGTCTTGTACTATTTTTCAATATTTCGTCATAATTGAAAAATATATTGTATATGTATTACATACTAAAGACAATAGTTACGTATTAGGGCCTCTTTATTGGCAGCTGACATTAATTACCCTCTGTAGGACCTCTTTATTTGTAACTTTTATTAAACTCCCTATCTAGAAACAACCTAAAAATAACCGTAGGTTACACATTCAAAATAAACAACGCTTTTGTCACTCGATTGAAAATTGATAAAAATGATGTATTTGGATATTTCGATCGTCACAAAAATACAAAAATTCTTCAACCTTATTTTATGATGTTGCTTTTTAATAGAATCGTAAGTAATGATATTAATCGGCAAGGGGACAAAAGATCATGAACTTAGCAATTTTTATTATAAAACTGAGTGTTTCCATGTACTACAATCTCACATAGAAATGAAATAAGTTTAAGCTTTATTCGGACATAAAGCATATCATTCTGGGTTGTTGTCAAGTGGACCTCCGCCCTCTTCCCCCTGTATGTCATGTGACCGTCTAATTATCATGGAACTGTGTCGACACTGTATAATTGACATCTGATTGAATATCCAGGAGAGGAGCTGTAATCATGAGAAACACCTGTTGTCGCTATGGTGATTTGCAAACATTCAGAGTTTTCGGTATAAAACAATTAAGAAAAAAAGCTTCTTCAAATCAACACTACACCGATGGTCATTGTTGTTTTGTTGATTAAGTACTATCATCCCTCTCCCAATATAGAAAACAAAAATTCAGATGAACTCATTTTACTTCAAAATAACTTAAATCGATGGAGTATTTTATAAAAGCAAAAGTTTTTATATTCTTACTAATTGATCAATTTCAAGATTTAAAAGAAAAGAAATATGAATATATTTATAGATTAAAGATACATATGTCACCACGAAGCAGTAAAAACTATTTCATATTCATTAAAATATCAAAAAAGATGTATGCTCATCATAATAAATATAGCCATGTTTATTGAAAATGATATTGTCATGAAGCTAAGACATCTGATTTCTGAACTCAGAGATTATGTTTAGCCTCAGGCTGTGGGACCGTTAACCTATAAAAAAGATAATATTTGTGTATAAACCTTTAGAGAATTGTTTTAGCGTCCAAAACATTTTACGACTTTATCTTAAAATTGACTTATAAAAGTGGACGATTTAAATGTTGCCTGTCTATTTCCTTTGTTTGCGGCTGTTGCTACAAAACTATTATTCTGTAATTACTGTAGCAGGTATCTGTAGTCAAGTTAATTCAGTGCCATATATAGCAAACAACCTATTGTTCACTAATGATAACATTTAGTAATCTAAATTTTCGTGATCTATATATCTGATATCAACATTTCACTAACATAAAAGACATATATTTTCCTTATTATTAAATTATTAAATATATTGTATATGTATTACATACTAAAGACAATTCTTACGTATTAGGGCCTCTTTATTGGCAGCTGATCTGATATTGATTACCCTCTGTAGGACCTCTTTATTAGTAACTTTTATTAGATTCCCTATCTAGAAACAACCTAAAAATAACCGTAGATTAAACATTCAAAATAAGCAAGTATACTGTGTTGTATCTTTGAGCAAGATACTTTACTCCTTTTGTTCCAGTCTACTAAGCTGTAATAATTTTATATGCGATCCCGTACATAACAGTACCTCCTTTCTCCTCTATTTTTTTTTGTGACGGTTCATAATTTTCGTGGTGTCTCTTCGGTTCTTTTCATTGTTTCGTTATTACTGTTTTATTTATTTAATTATTTTGCCTCTTTTTACCTCAAAATTCACATCAGAATGACATTTCTTTAAAATCAGGTTTTCATTAAGCACATGACTTTTACTAAATTATATTCAACAAAAAAATAATTGATAAGTTTTAATAAAAAATACCCTGTCTTTACATGAACATAGAACAAAAGTTAAAATGAAAGTAAGGTCCATGGAATTTCCAATTAAACGCTTGTTTGTTTTTCTTGTTTCTTGCTCTGTACGATGCTCCTTGTTCAATTATATTAACATAAAGGCTGCCGTAGTCATCACAAACGGGTATTTAAATGTTTCGACATTTATGATGCATGTGTTTAGCGTGAATTATTCCTTTTTAATTGGTCTGTCACTTTCGTAAGACATCCCGGTACGAGATAAATTTAACTCGTGATAAGAAAATGAAAACATGCACTTATCGAACCAATATCTAATAGAATTTTTGTAAATATTTTCTCGGCAATGGTTAAAAATCAAAGTTAGCTGACGACACCGAATACTGATAAAGCTCACCCCTATGCTTTAGGCGATCAAACAAAACGCGGAAACTAATTTTAAATGACGTTACGGTACTGATCAACGGATGTGTGATGATTTTACAGGCAATTACGTACGGCAAAGAGAAAACCAGGAGTTCACTGATGGCCATCTCCAATATGAATTCATATTAATAGTTACACTTTATGTGAACGCACTTTCAAGCTGCTATCATTGCTAATGGGGGAACTGGGAGAGGTTTTCCGTTAAATGATCAAGATGCTTTCAGAATAATATTTGACGTCCACTCTGATCGGAACGGAAGCCATTATAAAATGAACCATGAAGTCAATTAAGCGTGAAATGTGAATCATTTAAATTCATTTTCTGATAAAATCCCGACTTTAATCATACTTGTTGTGCTATAACGTAATTTGATGACGATGATACGTTAGCTGTGATGTCAGTGACATTGTTTCAAGTTTAGTTTGTTACTCAATGTTTTTAGTATTTGCATAGTGTTTGTGACCTTACAGGTAACCTATAGCATCACGTGTATTGCTTGTTAAGTAGGTCTGTGTGAAAGCATGTAGAACCAAGACTCCTCGTTTTATCAAAAACATTATTGGAATATTGAGAGAAACGAAGGGGAAAGTAATATTCCAGTTGATTTTTGTTTTCCAGATATCCGAGGTAAACTTTAATACATGATGCTAAACATATGTGTAAGTTATGTAGATCCATAAAATACGAACAGTATACACTGTAAACCCATTCATTGTTCAAGTGCGTTGTGACCATGACAAATAATGCGAGATATAAGGACTTTTCAGACAAACAATTCGAGATAAATTGATTATTCTAAACAAAACAAAATTGAGATATATGGAGTATTCTAGACAAACAATCCAAAATATATTGAGTATTGAGGGGACACATTTCGAGATAAATGGAATATTCCAGGCGTCCGGGCTATGAAACTATTAATAACAGAATTAGTGATAACAAAGTCAGTTAAGATATCCGGGTACACACATCCAATGTAATGAGTTTCGTTGATAGATAGAAGCTACGTAAGGAAATTTGGGTTTGTTTGGATTGTGTTAGCATTGAAATGGTGGAAATAAAACCATTACGTGAAGAATGATAAAAGATGTAAATATTTGTTTTGTTGCATTGATGGAAATGATATCAATATATTAAAAAGAAATAATTATGTTATTTGTAAACACAAACAGTAGACACGATTCTATTTAGTCCCAATGACGAAGTCGATCGCTGGACTTGAACAATTGGCAAAGTAACAATCTTTAGACAATAGCTTATTATAATACGTCAATGTGTTTTCTATAAGAAAATATATATACATTATGTCTTACTTTCCAAGCTTAGCCAATATAGATGTCATGATGATATAAACATAAAATAATGATTATTGCTAGAAATAGAAATATCCCAAACAGTTCTCCTCAGTATGAATACACGTATTTCTTTTCACTGATGAATTTAATACATCTGTACAATATTTACATTAAAGACATGTTTTATCTGTAGTGTCGTTTGATTTAGAATATAAACGTAATACATTGCTTTCGTGAGAGTATAAAAACATTATCTTAACACGGTAAAAACGACGGGTTTGTTGGGTGGCCGTATTTGCCGACTTAATTAAATCATCTATCTGTAAATATGAACCGTGGCGAAAGCTTCGGTCAAAATGTGATTGTTATCTTAGCCAATTGTTGAAGTCCAACTATCGCCATAGGTGAGAAAAGTCGGTGTTGTGTCAAGTTTGTGGAGAGAAGTGTGTCCATTTCATGATTTGATTAACTTGTATAGCCGTCTATACGGCCGTATTATCGTTACTGATCTTTGTTGGTTTCCATCCCCAGGTTTACCACACATGAATTCGCCGAGCGACTCGAATCACTCCAGCGATGTATCCACCACGGAGAACCATTCTTCTGTACATAATGACATTACAGCCGTGAAATCGGAATTAAACAGTTCCGAGGATTGTGACAAACTCAGTGACAATGAAGGTGATGATTCGCCTGGTTCCCATAACAATGATGGGCAGAAGAAGAGGAAACGAAGGGTGCTATTTTCAAAGGCTCAGACCTATGAACTTGAAAGGAGATTCCGTCAACAGCGGTACCTGAGTGCTCCAGAGCGGGAACATTTAGCTAGTATAATTAGACTCACGCCAGTTCAGGTGAAAATATGGTTTCAGAATCATAGATACAAGCTGAAGCGGTCACGGCAAGAAAAGGGATTAGATTTGAATCCTCTACCGTCCCCGAGGCGTGTGGCTGTACCCGTGCTGGTGCGGGACGGCAAACCCTGCCAACCTGGCATGAACAGTCTTGTCAAAGCCCAGGAACCGTTACCAATGCAACCGAACATGAACTCTCCCGTTAACATGAATGGTAGTTTGAGTAATATGAACATGAACCCCATGGGCTCCTTAACAATGAACAATTCTATGAACACATCTTTACCTACATCGATGAACAGTATGAACATGAGTTGTTCATATAACACAATGGGACCTATGAACGCAATGAATTTGAATATGAATATGAACATGAACAATATGAATGTGTTGCCAAGTTACAGCCATCCGTTGATGCAGCCTCAAACTCGGTGGTGGTAACAGACAGCTCTAAGGGAAGGCATTCCCTCTATTTGGTAGCATCAAGTAATTATGGATCTGTACTTCATAAGAAATTGTGAATTTCAAACTAAATCTCAAAGGATGCGGTAGAATTAGATGTGACAAAGTTGGCACAAAGTGCTATTTCGCTTTCAGTTTTGACAATTTAAAAGTAGCTTTTAACTCTTGTCATTGTTGCAGAAATATGTTTAATGTGACAGTTTAGACGTTTTCAATAGTGCGGAACGTTAATTTATTAATTTGAACAAAAGTGCTTTATAGAATATTTTTCACGACCATTTTATAGATTCGTTCATTACCCATCCTCCATCACGCACATCAAATGCATTACTATGTTTGACAGTGACGTCATTGTGTTAGTCATATTTATATTAATTCAGAATGAAATATCATGACATGTTTGTTCAGTATTTTTGTTCTCATTTTAATTAATTAATAGTCCATCAGACGCATTGTAGAGAGGAAACTTCGCAATACTACGTTGGCCGTCCAGTCAGAGTGGGAGCACACATAGAGAAATAGTTTTACCTCACGTTTCTTATTTGATAGATACTTATGATTGTATACCATGTACTACTGAGCAGGATGCTATTGCTGACTCCCACCTCTGCGTATACAAGAAGCACGTCTCCAATGTAGAAGGCCCATGCTGGAAAGCTCAATGATTCGGGAACAACTTTCTTTTTGTTCTAAATTTTGACAAAGGAGTGCTTAAAAACAAATGTTAGAGCTGGAAATGTTCAGTACCATGTCGGCTGGCGTTTTGAAACGTGACGTCATTTCGATGTAATACGTAACGGCATTAAATCAACATTTTGATCAGCGGAAGAATATCTAACGCCAAAACACTGAATGATCTGACGTCACTTAACGGAAGTAAACATATATCAAACAAGCATACAGTGAACGTTGTTTTCCATACCCCTTATTTCAAAGTAGATCACTTGTATGCAGTACTTTTTCCTGCTTTTTCCAAATATGCACTCGGTTGATCAATGAATTGTTGCATTCCCAATATCATTATCGATTATTACCAAATTCCCAGGTAATAGAAAGAAATCATTACTTTGTAGGAATGAGGGGGGGGGGGGGGGG